GTGATTTCTGCCCAGTGCTCTGGATGTCGTGCTGGTCACGCAGAATTTCGGAATCCTTTTGTGTTCAATGGCTTGCTAAGAAATGGGCGCGTGTCGACATCGCGGCGTATATCGCATGGTTAGCGGAAACAGCCAATCGCCGGTCAGACTGTCCGCTGATGTATAATGCTCATTGAGCTGATTGAATGCAATATCTCGTGTTGGCATGGTGTATTTTTGAGAGTGAGAGGGTCTTCGCTAGGCATGATAGTCGTAGACTTGTAACTTTTTGGCTGGGTTGGAGGGGTATCCCGAGACGATCCGACGACGCATTACTGTCGATGTCTCCGATATGGGAAAAGACAGTTCCGGCTGCGTCTCGTGGCCAGACCAATCGATCTTGTTCGGGCGGGCTTGAACAACTGCAGTCTTTTAGGCGATAGCGTTGATCTTGAACACGTCACAGGAGCGATGACCTTCGGCCCGTTTTGCATATGTTCTGCGAGGAATCTCTTAGTTGACTTTCGAAATTACCATCCCGGGATAAAAGACTTACATGGATGATGACCCGGCAGGCTCCATACCTACCAGACTCTTGTCGAAGTTGATCAAAGCCAGGCTTGCCGGAAATAAGTTTATGATCACCGAAAAGGGGTTTCTTGCTGTTCACAGTCTGTCTCATGTAGAAGACTTGAGATCGCGCGTAACATTTGACTTCTGCATTCAGGTTGTTTTTCGCGGCCTTGGTGGCCGTTTTGCTAAGGGTCTGGAGTGTGGTGTAGGGCTGCGATGGATCTCTCACTTGTCAACCTCCCCTAGGACTGAAATAGCCCTCTCATGTCGCATAGTCCCAATCAAGCCGAGAAATTGACTGAAAAGTCCATGAAGTCAACCTTCAATGACGACGTGACGTTGCTCGCAGGTCTCGCGACGAGCGGGCTGATATCAAGGATCCATTCCTCACCCCCGTTCTCATGTTCATCCGCAAAGATCCAGCAGATCTCACGCAGGGGAATCTTCTCCTTGACGTTGCCGTCGGCGTCCTTAATCAGTCGGTAGACCCAGGCACTTTTGCCATTTTCGTCCGACTCGCGAACAACCATAAGAGTTACTCCTTTGGCCGGGTCCACGGTGTCGCTGATGGCACTGACGCTCCAGTCTGCCCATATGTCACAACCGACGGTGCTCAGCTGGGGTTTGCCCAGGTAGTACTCCACGCCGGTCTTGACCCACTTCTGGGCCGGATCTTCGGGCTTGGTGGGGACCGATGCCCTCCGGAGACCCAAGACTAAACCGGCCTGATCGTAGCGCTCCGTCCAATCCGCCCAGAAGGTTACGTTGGCGGACTGGAACTTTGAGAGCAGACCGGACGATGTGCGTGTGATGGGAACTGTACGTAGCGGCGTTAGCATTGACTCTGCTGTACCTGGTAAACCCTTACCATTCCACACATCAGTGGTTGGGGGCTTTCTCCAAATGTCGGTGCCCGCGGGTGCTTCCAGAATGAAAGATCCGGGGGTGGTTGTTGCGGCGGAGGTGGCCGTGAAGGCGGCGAGGAGTGCAACATTAAGTCTCATGGCGGCGGATGGGCTTGTTCGTGACTTTGACTGGTATCGGGTGGAAGGCTCATCGTACATATATAGTTGTGTCCAAGCGGGCAATTGCCAACTTACCCCACATCCATCGCCAGCCTGCAACATCCCTGCCTTGACCTACAACAGGGTAATAGGTAACATTGAAGCGGAGTTGGATGTATAGGTTGCATAGAAAGGTTCAATTCCGCGGCGGAGTCTCCGCCGTCCCCGTTGACTATCATCCGGCGTTCATCCGAAAGCCTCTGTTAGTTTTGGGATGGCGGCATAACCAAGATTTCGAGCGTTGCATGAGCCATGATCATATGGGGTAATGAGTCCTGCTTTGCGGAGTGTTTGGCAAGCAAGGCACCAACTTCTTGGAACTTTCTGAGATGTCTCGATCAGGAAAAAGTCCGACTGTGCAGCATACCGTGCAGGGCCCATAGAGTGAACGGCTTCTCGTTCGTAGGGAGTCAACAAGCCTGGGCCGTCAGTGCCTGGATGGAGACTGATGGAAACGTGGCGGTACTCGTGTTAGGTCTCCCACTAGTCTTCTGAATCGTGCGGGACGGTTTGTTCGATGACTGAGAGAGAAGCTTGACTATATACCAGGGGCTCCTGGCTGAGGCTTCAACACGCATCGAGGTCAGCGTGGATGTATACAGTCGTCTGGTGCAGTTGGGTGAGAGCTTGGTGCAATCCATCGTCATCGATAACTGTGACCACCGAGACATGGAAAGTTACCGGCCAGGTGATTAAGGTCAAATGCCGTAACAAAGAGCTGGTTTCCATAGTCGAATGCTGTGGGGATGCACTCTCCCATCTTCTCCTGCTACCAGGCACCGAAACCTCTGCGTCGACGACTGAGTCAGACGCGTCGGCATGAAGCAGGCGGCTTGCGCGGGAGCTGAGAATGAGAACTGTCAGGAGGATGTCTTGGAGATTGAAAGTCAGGTTTGTGTATCTCACCTATCAGATGCCCTGAGCACCGATGTGCGTTCTGCAGCTGGCAGTTTTCTTGCGGGCTTTAGATGAGAATTCAAATGCCTCCTCGACGGTAGCAATACTGAGGCGACAAGAGAGAAGGAGTTGGCTTTGAATTCGAGTCTGATCAGATTCTCGTGCCATAGTGTCTTCGAATTTGGGTGTGTGTTGCAACTCGAGAAAACAAAAGAAAAAAAGAACGACGCTTTGGTATCTTACCTGCCTAGAAACTGCCTAGCATGGTGTGAGGAGCTTCAGCTAGAACATAAGGTGCAATTCTGTGGAACCTTAGCACAGGTTGTGGGAGAACTGACAGCTCTGTTTACCGAGAAGAGGGCTGTGGACCGCGGGTCACAGGACTCCCGAGAACATCTCGAACCTGATAGCTCACGTTTAGACTATTGAGGCTTTCCAAGATCTACATTGTAATGGATCCATGCATACAAGGAAGAATAGAATGATTCCCTCGTCAATAACGAATACCTGTTTGACTGTGTAGCCCCTGAAGGCCAATCTTGGGACCGAATGTTCAAGAACAGCCATATGCCCAGCACAACGACTCCCACAATACCAAGGCAGAACACTAGAACATTCCATTCACGTATTCAGCTAGTTCAGGAGAATAGGAACATGCTTAGAACAGTCGGTTTCGAGATTAGTGTTAGTCATTCTTTGTCCCTCTGGCGGGCGTATAGACCCCAGTCATTGGCGTGTAAGCGGGTCGGAGCATAGCTGACCTGCACTCGCTGGTACTCGCACCTGCAAGCAGCTGCCAAAACGTCGAGCACCTGAGTCTCTCCTACCTGCCACTTTGTAAATACCCAATAAGGAATAGGCTCGAGACTGGAGCTTGCTAGATTTCACTTCTCCTCCCCCCTCTTGCTCACTCCCTTCACCCTTGCCCTAACACTCTACTCGAAATCCCATGTTTTTAGACACAAAATTATGAAGACACGGGACCATCCCGGCAAACGTCGTTTCTTTCTATATTATAAGTACCATTCTTATACTATCACTATACGGTGGCGCGTTCGAAGGAAAAAGATGTCTACACGGCCCGTCGACGAAACCTGATCATAAGGTTTCATCTTGAATTACACTTTT